TCAAAGTACGGCCTTCAACACAGAGCCTTGGCTCACACTGAACAGCAAGGTATAAAGGGCCCCAAAATGACTAGTGTAAAACAATTCAAACAGGAACTTATTATACGACCGCAAAAAAAATTTTGTGGTCGTATATTAGTATGACGTTTGCGTCGTCATCGTCGTCGTCGTCGTCATTGTCGTCGTTCGGCGTCTGCGTCGTCGTCGTCCGAAGACACATTAGTTTTCGCACTCTAACTTTAGTTTAAGTGAACGGATCTCAATGAAATTTTACCATAAGGTTCAATACCACAAAAGGAAGGTGGGGATTGATTTTGGGGGTTATGGTACCCACAGTTAAGGAATTAGGGGCCAAAAAGGGGCCAAAAATAAGCATTTTTGTAACTTTCAGACATAACTTGTGTGTAAGTGTATGGATCTCTCTGACATTGTACCACAAGGTTCCATATCACAAAGGGAATGCTGGGATTGATTTTGGGGGTAATTTCCTCCAAATTTTAGGAATAAGGGGCCAAAAAGGGGCAAAAAACAAGCATTTTTCTAGTTTCATGACAATAAATTGTGTGTAAGTGTATGGATCTCTCTGACATTGTATCACAAGGTTCCATATCACAAAGGGAAAGCTGGAATTGAGTTTGGTGGTAATTGCCCAAAAAGTTTAGGAACAAGGGGCCAAAATGGGGCCAAAAATAAGCATTTTTCTAGTTTCCAGACAATAACTTGTGTTCAAATGTATGGATCTCTCTGAAATTGTACTGCAAGGTACAATACCACAAAGGGAAGGCTGGGATTGATTTTGGGGGTAATTCCCTCAAACTTTTAGTAATTAGGGGCCATAATCGGGCAAAAAAACAAGCATTTTTCTAGTTTCAGGACAATAACTTATGTGTCAGTGTATGGATCTTTATGAAATTGTACTGCAAGGTTCCATATCACAAAGGGAAAGCTGGGTTTGAGTTTGGGGGTAATTGCCCTAAAAGTTTAGGAATAAGGGGCCAAAAAGGGGCCAAAAATAAGCATTTTTCTAGTTTCCAGACAATAACTTGTGTTCAAATGTATGGATCTCTCTGAAATTGTACTGCAAGGTACCATACCACAAAGGGAAGGCTGGGATTGATTTTGGGGGTAATTGCCTCAAAATTTTAGGAATTAAGGGCAAAAAAGGGGCCAAAAAAACAAGCATTTTTGTAGTTTCAGGACAATACTTGTGTGTAAGTTTATGGATCTTTATGAAATTGTACTGCAAGGTACCATACCACAAAGGGAAAGCTGGGATTGAGTTTGGGGGTGATGAATCATAAGGGGGTTAAAAAAATTGGGGGGATTTTTTTTTCATTTTTTTTCTTTAAAATTTTCCATTTTAAATTGGTTATTTCTGATTTATATATAAAAGCAAATAATAATGATATGGTTTGAATAGGTAAATTAAGAATTTTTAAGTTCTTAGACCACTTTCATTCTGTGTGAGAAACCTATGCTGTGTCAAATATTTAATTACAATCCAAATTCAATGCTGTATCAAGCTTGAATGTTGTGTCCATACTTGCCCCAACTGTTCACGGTTCGACTTCTGCGGTCGTATCAAGCTGCGCCCCAGCGGAACATTTTATTTTTTAACCTACAACATGAAATCAAACAGACCTAGAAAAATTACATCGGGTTATATGACCGTCGGCAGTCTTCGGAGGTCATCTCGATTGTTAATTAGATGGCATCTAGACTATAATACACAGGAAATGCTGATATATATTATTGAGTCCATGCATTGTTAATTGTTTATTATACGACCGCAAACATTTTGGGTTCGTATATTGGTATCACTTCGTCGTCATCCGAAGACACATTGGTTTCCGGACAATAACTTTTGTTTAAGTGTATGGATTTCTATGAAATTTTACCATAAGGTTCATGACCACAAAAGGAAGGTTGGGATTGATTTTGGGCATTATGGTCCTAACAGTTCAGGAATTAGGGGCCAAAAAGGGGCCAAATAAGCATTTTTCTAGGTTTCCAGACAGTTACTTGTGTTAAAGTGTGTGAATCTCTCTGAAATTATACCACAAGTTTCCATACAACAAAGGAATGGTTAGGATTGACTATGGGGGGTTATGGCTCAAACCGTTTAGGAATTAGAGGCAAAAAAGGGGGAAAAACAAGTTTTTTTCTGGTTAAAGGACAATTAAGACAATTTAAAGCAGTCTAAGGGAGGTAATCCAATCCATATTTAAAACAACAATGTTTGATTACCTCCCTTACACTGCTTGTAAATTATGTATTAAGAAATGATGATTGTCTTGAGGTGATTAGCTGTCAATTTATTTTTAAAAGTTACTATTAATTAATATTTATTTTAGCCATGAGGCATGACTATGTATGTCATTTTATATTTTAAGACTTGTATGATGTATTTAAAAGGGTAATTATGGTTGCAAATTTTATTAAAATTTATGAATTGAGGTTATGACTATATCTTGAGGGAATGATTTTTTTTTGGAATAAGGGAAAGGGGGAGGTTAATGGACAATTACTTAAGTACAAAAAATAATTTTAAAGCAGTGTAAGGGAGGTAATTCAAACACATATTGTCAAATTACCTCCCTTACACTGCTTGTAAATTATTTATAAAGAAATGTATTGTCTTTAGGTGATTAGCTGTCAATTTATTTTTAGAAATTACTATTTTAAAAATGTTTAGTAAAGGTAATTTAATTATAGCCATGATTATGTATGTGAAGGAATTTTATTTTTAGATATTTTTTAGATATTACTATTTAATGTTGCTGATGGAGGATTTTTAACTTTAGGCATGATTATGATGTCATTTTCTATTTTAAAAATTATTTAATTTTAGCCATGATTATGTATGTGAAGGAATTTTATTTTTAGATATTACTATTTAATGTTGCTGATGAAAGTGTTTTAATTTTAGGCATGATTATGATGTCATTTTCTATTTTAATACTTTATGATGTATTTAAATGGGTTTTTATGGTTGCAAAGTCCTAGCTATCAATTTATTTTTAGAAGTTACTTTTAAATGCTGATGAAGGAATTTTATTTTTAGATATTACTCTGAAAAGTTGCTGATGAAGGTTTTTTAATTTTAGCCATGACTATGATGTCATTTTCTATTTTAATACTTTTATGATGTATTTAAATGGGCTTTTATGGTTAAAAAAAGCATTTTTCTAGTTTCCAGACAGTAACTTGTGATTAAGTGTATGGATCTCTCTAAAATTGTACTACAAGGTTCCATACTACAAAGGAAAGACTGCAATTGAGTTTGATGGTTAATGCTAAAAGGGGGATTCAAAAAGATTGGGGGGAAGAGGGGGTTTCCAATTTTTTTTTAAAAGGGTTCATATTTTTTTTTCAAAATTTTCAAAATTTCAAATTTTTGAAAAGTTTCAAGAAGAAATCTTCAATTGCACAGAATTACGCATTAGATTTGTAAGATCTTTGACCACATTTATTTTGTGTCAGAAACCTATATTATGTCAAAAATTTGATCACAATCCAAATTCAGATAGTATCAAGCTTGAATATTGTGTCCAAATTTGCCCCAACTGTTCAGGGTTCGACGACTGCAGTCGTATCAGGCTGCGCTCAGCGAAGCATTTTTTTTCAGACTTATTGTAATTTGGATATACGTTTTAGTATGTTGTAAATCAAATAGAAAATTTGAGTCAAATCGGTGAAAATGAAATTGAAAGCTTATGTCCCTTTAAAGACTTTTTAAATAAAATTATGTCATGATCAGTAAAGCAGGCTAGACATTTCAGTGTGTGCTTTCTTGTTGAAAAAACTCTGAAACTACAGGGTAAATGTTTTGAAACTTTAGAGGATTGATAAATATAAAACCATCTTAATCTTTTTAATTTGTAAGAACTTCTCTTCTCTTTTTAAAATTTTTACACAGGAACATAGGTTGATATGATGCATAGATACCAGAAGAGCAATACAGGTTCGCTGGAGCCTCTTGTTTTGTCAATTTCGTGGTATGAGCAAAAGTTACATGTTCTTTGGTTCTTAAATTCGTGGATTTTAGTTTTCTGAAGAAGAAAAATGCAAGTGAAGAATTTGGAGCTATCAGAAACGAAGATTCTTGAAAATAATCATATGTTGTTTTATAATGAATTGTGGGACATTGCAAAATATGGTGTTCATTTTCACTTACTTGTTAGTCTTTCCTTACTGATAACATTCATCAAATTGTATAATGAATTAATTGCTTCCAGAAATAAGCTGATTCATCTATGCTTACAAATTGTCTCATGGAAAGAAATTGTAAAGTAAACATTTTAATTGTTGCACTGTGCACCTGTTATCAGAAGTGATGACACTAATTAACCTGAGATCCAATGATCAACAGATTAACGATCATTTAAGGTATTAATTGGGCCATAAACATGAAGAAAAGGGTTAATAAAAAAAATGCTACAAGGTACTTTGAATTGTAGAATTAATAATTATGAAATAAAAAAGCAAGCCCATAATAAAATTATTATTTTTTTCGTATGAGAATTATGAAGAGATATCATCGCATATCATCACCGGAGGTCTGACTTTCATCAATCAAAACTACTTTTTCATGAGAATTAAAAGGTTTAAAGTTACAGTTAAGGTTTTTGAAAGAATAAATTGGTAAAATCCTGTCTGAAGTTGTAAATATAGTTCATAGTGTGTTTGCTGATATTTGATGTATTCTCTAGACTATATGCTTGTATCTATGTACCGTAGTCAAACCTACATGGGGATCTTACCATGTCTTGATTTGGACAACAGTTGTTTTATTTCGTTGGATACTTAAATTCGTGAATGCATCCATCCACAAAACCATGAAAATTGATACCCCAGAATAAACATACTTTCACAGTATTAGGTAAAATGTATCATAGGAGACCAGTATTCTCTTCCATTTGAGTGAGGTTATAACAATATTGAAAAAAGGCCTATAAATGTCTCTACTCCTTTCATATTCTTTAATTTTTCTTTTGTAGACTGCTAAGAATGAAGTAAATGTTCCAGTTCTGAAAAATCTAGTTGATTCCCTGTATACATCAGCTGTAGATATGACCACAAAGAAAAAACATAATTTTGTAAGTAACAAGCAATAGCATTTATAAAAGAAGGTACAACCTTAATCAAGACCTATTAGTGTCATGTTGTTGAGAACAGAAATGTACATTTGAATTTGTAAAAGATTAGATTCAGAATAAATGTTAAAATATTTATGAATCTGGAATCTTTGAGAATCATTGTGAGATCACACTTCTCAAACAAATCATTCTGTGAAAAAAATTGTTCATTTTTGTTACACCTATCAGGGACAGTTTAATACAAAAATCTGCCTTAAACTGACAGAATAAAAAAAAAATCAAATGTGCCAAGCTTCTAATTGATACTTTATGAGCTTAGATATCAAGATAAAGAACAGTAGTTACTTATCTAAATCTAAGTTCTTGAAAAGTAGAACCAAATAAAAAATTGTCAATTTGTTTTTAAACCTTTAGTCCCTTATATCTTGGATATAATAAGTTTCTGTTACTTTTGTGTAAGCAGCAGAATGGGGGTGAATGGTTTATGAATTTTTTTTATTTCAATTTTGTCGAGCCTTCGACTTTTGTCGAAAAAGCGAGACATAGCGATCCTACATTCTGTCGGCGGCGTTGTCGTCGGCGGCGCCGGCATCGTCCACAAATATTCACTCTGTGGTTAAAGTTTTTGAAATTTTAATAACTTTCTTAAACTATCCTGGATTTCTACCAAACTTGGACAGAAGCTTGTTTATGATCATAAGATAATATTCAAAAGTAAATTTTGTGAAAAAAAAAATTCCATTTTTTCCGTATTTTACTGATAAATGGACTTAGTTTTTCTGCCAGGAAACATAACATTCACTCTGTGGTTAAAGTTTTTGAAATTTTAATAACTTTCTTAAACTATCCTGGATTTCTACCAAACTTGGACAGAAGCTTGTTTATGATCATAAGATTATATTCAAAAGCAAATTTTGTAAAAAAAAAAATTCCATTTTTTCCGTATTTTACTTATAAATGGACTTTTTTGCCAGTTAACATTACATTCACTCTGTGGTTAAAGTTTTTAAAATTTTAACAACTTTCTTAAACTATCCTGGATTTGTACCACACTTGGACAGAAGCTTGTTTATGATCAAAAGCTAGTATCTAGAAGGAAATTTTGTTAAAATTTTGTTCCATTTTTTCCATATTTTACTTATAAATGGACTTAGTTTTTCTTCCAGTCAACATAACATACAGTCTGCAGTTTAAGTTTTTAAAACATTTATTAGATTTATAAATTATCCTGGATTTTTACCAAACTTGGACAGAAGCTACTTACAATCAAAAGATAGTATAGAGAGGAATATTTTTATTTTTTTTCCCCTCATTTTTGTTGAGCCTGCGATTAACAGCAAAAGTAGGCGAGACACTGGGTTCCGTGGAACCATTACAAATTTTTTCAATTTCAAATATAGAAACTGATATCAAAGTAATCTTTAAAAATTTCCCTATTATAAAAGATTAAACCAACCATTTTTTTATTGGCCAGTAATTATGTCATCCGATTGACAATGTCGCTTTTCCCCCGTTTCTTTATCCCTATTATTATTATTCTTCCACCTTTTTTGTCTGAAGCATTCCTGGAAGACTAATGGACCAATATTGATAAAACTTTAGCATAATGGTAATCACCATATGTAGATTTGCAATTCCACTTTTGAACTTTTAAAATGGCCTCCGGTACCATGGAAACAGCAGAAATGCATAAAAATAGGAAAGTGTTCCAAACTTATTGAAACTTAACAGAAATGTCACTGGTCATGATGAGATGTGGCATCTAAGTTTTGAATTTTTAAAATGGCTGCCGTTACCATGGAAACAATGCAAAAAAAATTTAAATGCTCCAAACTTTATGAAAGTTTACAAAAATGTTAACTAGCATATTAATAGAAGAGCTATTTGACTTTGGAATTCTCAAATCGGCAGCCGTTTGCCATTTTCAGAAATATGTACATACATGACATACGAATTGAAATTATATTTCGATGCAAGTAAAGCTCATTTTTTTTTTGTATATCTAAATATCTATGAAATAGGTGAGCATATTGTACTGCTGATGAATAAAGTCCTGTTAATTGTTAATACATTAAAAAGCACTGTCTATAATTTGTTGGAATAAAGACGGATTTTTCAATATTGATGTCAAACCCAACTGACTCTCTTAAGAGTTTAACCTTTTCTGTATGTTGTGTATACAACGATCAAAGCTTTCTGCCTGCAAAAGTGAATCATCAATGTAAAAATATGAATCAATACCCATACTCTGAATATATAAAAAAATTACTTTCAGTATTTTGTAAATACTTTTGAAGCATAGGCAATTCCATTCAGTAGACATTGAAATTCATATAACTTTTCATTCCAAACAAATTTTAAATATTTTCTGTCTTCATTAGTAGATTGAAATGAAAAAATATGCATATTTTGGTATTAATATTGATTCACTCATAGGGTCTTTGCATCGGAAATAAACACATTTATTCTAAAACCAGTTGTTGGCATGTACTGGTTATGTCCTTCTCATATATTTTATGATGGTATGATACTAAACCCCTCACGAGAGGGATTGTGCTTGATTTTCATATGATGAAGACATAATCTTTCAATCAGTTTAATTGAGGTCTGGAGCTGACATGTCAGTAACTGCTAGTAGTCCTTTGTTAATTTATGTATCATTGCCATTTTACTTAGTTTCTTTTGTTACCTATTCTGACATTGGACTCGGACTTCTTTTAAACTGAGTTTTACTGTGCGTATTGCTGTGTGTTTGTTTATTCTACATTGGCTAGAGGTATAAGAGGGGGGAGGGGGGAGGGGGGGTTGAGATCTCACAAAACATGTTTAACCCCACCACATTTTTGCGCCTGTCCCAAGTCAGGAGCCTCTGACCTTTGTTAGTCTTGTATGTTTTTTAGTTTTAGTTCATTTATATGTTTTGGAGTTTAGTGTGGTTTCCATTTTCATTGAACTAGTACACATTTTTGTTTAGGGGCCAGCTGAAGCCCGCCTCCGTGTGCAGGATTTTCTGGCTGTGTTGAAGACCCATTGGTGGCCTTGGGCTGTTTTCTGCTCTTTGATCAGGTTGTTGTCTCCTTGACACATTCCCCATTTCCATTCTCAATTTTATCTGTCAAATCCAAATTTACACAATTCCTATTAAAATCAAATCTCTTGTTTGAAATGGTGATAACTAATAAATTGATTCAATGTTTTCAAATTAATGACAGGTCTCATTTTAGCATTTTTCTTTTTCACTTAAAATACATTTGAAATCATCAAAAGTCTCTTTGATGGCACCTTTCTCTAGCATATCAAATATTTCTTTATCAATAAGTTCCTTTTCCTTATTGTTAAATTTTGTAGAAACTGGAACTTTTTCCTGAACTGGCTTTTTATCAAATTCTATTTTACATCCCTTAAATGTAGAGAGGATCCAACTGTCTCTCTTTGAATATTTCCAAATAGAAATAAAGTTTCTTTGTTTACCTGACCTTCTTTTAAGTTTGTTTTTTTTGTATCGTCCTGAACATGCATGAAATATTTGCCACTGGTAGTTAAGCAACCAACAATCAATCAATCTTTTAGTTTTAGAAATTTTATTTCTCAACTTTATAACTTTCTTTTCTGACTGTTAACACTGGGTCTGTTTGAGCCTTCTCTTGACTGACCCCTCTGATAATTTTTGTCTTGGGTGCTGATAGCTTGAGCCGCTGCCCCTTCTTCCTTAAAAACAGTCCTAGTTTCTACCTCTGTAATTGGCCATAGTTAAAAATGTTTTTAATAATCTTATTTGTTTCATAAATATCTTTGAGCCTCTTCCCAATATCATCTCCAAAAGATTACTTCCAACATCTTCGCTTTGGTTACAAAGCTGATGATATTTTCTGTCAATTTGTGGTTTCAATGACATGCTTCTGATTAAATGTTCAAAATGTGTATGACTTAGGATAGCTAAAGCTTTTGAGATATACTGGCTTATCATTTTTACATCCGAAGTCTTTGATTTTTGAATTTCTGCCACTTTACCATACCACAACCTAAAGTTTTTTGTCTCACCTGCTACAAAAGTCGTTGAAAGCAAGACATAGGTGTTGCTTTTCTGGTGATGGCGTGGTCGGCTACAACAATTGTTAAATTTTTTTATTAAGTTAGTTTGATATGAACTACTTGTGATAGATCAATGATATTTTCTATAAAGTTGCATTACTATCAGTTCATTTTAGTTTGGCGACTTTTTCGAAGCCCTGCTACCTAGGTCATGGTCCAGTGACTTGGAATTAATTAGCAATTTTCAATGTTAAGATTTCTGCTTAAGTTAGTATGATAGGAACTACTTATGATAGACAATGATATTTTCTATAAAATTGCATTACTATCATTACATTTCAGTTTGATGATCATTTTGACGCACTGCCCTCTATGTCATGGTCCAGCAACTTTGAATTAATTAGCAATGTTGCTGTCCATTAGATTGTCTTTTTCTGAGTTTTCTGCCACAGACCAGACATATCTCTGTGTCAACAGTTTATTGTACTGTCTGTAGATTTAAATCAGAAGTTTTGGCTCTACAGTCAAGAAATTGCCACATCTTGGCATTTAATGGAGGGGTTACCAAACATTTACTATTGCCTGAAACTTTCATTTCTTTGGTCATGACTGACACATCAGATTTTCTCTTACAAATACTTTCAAAAACCTTTAACTCGAGAACATCTTCATCAAATTTCTAATCGTCTTTGAAGATTTTAGCTAATTCATAGTCAAATTCGTCATCTGATGCTGCAACTTGTGGTTCTTTCTCCTCATCAGAATAAATGTTAAAGTTCATGTCCATCACCTGTTCATCATCTGTGGAGTGGTATGAATTTATTGAAAATATCACGAAACACTTAGTTGTCTATGTCATTTTTATTGCAATATGGCCAATAATGGTGTTTTCGTGGTTCTATTGTGACTCCTTTGCTAAAAATGAAATATGATGAAATATTTTCGAACTGAAATTTTTTTTCATGAAAAAACACTCCATACAGCAATGAACCCCACTCATGGGTAAATAATAATAATAATAATAATAATAATAATAATAACAATTCTTTATTTAAAGAGGGTTACACAGTTAGCTATAAAACTAATCTTCCCTGAGGCCCTCGTGAAATACAATGAAATATAACAAACAATTACAAAATATGAAACAAACACACATATATGAAAAAATGAAATAAAAAATTGTTATGAAATATACAATTTTCAAAGCAGGTAAAAATTACAAATTCATATAGTATTGGCAACATCCAAATTACCTCACCAATATCTTAAGTTTGAGTAAGTGTGTGAAAATTATTATGCATATAAAATTACACAGCTTCTTAAAGTTCCAACAAGTAATTTTTTAAATCTTTTTAGAATGAGCTTGTACTTGAGGTTGATTTTTTCAGGGATATTGGTAAGTTATTTCATAAAATAAATCCTGAATATATAAAAAATTTCTTATACAGCTCTGTTTTGGCTTTTTTGAAGACACATTCCTCAAACAATATTGGTTTATTTCTGGCATTTCTTTAAATTTTTCAGTGAGATATACAGGGGCTTGGTTCATAAGGCATTTCTGCATCAAAACATATTTGTGGTATGAAATTCTGTTCCCTCTGTCATCCACCCAAGCTGTTTAAACAGTGGAGCTGATGATGAAAGTGGATCAGCATCTGAAATAAGTCTTGCAGCCCTTTTCTGCAATTTAATTATTCTGACAAGCTCATTTTTAGCACAACCTCTCCAAATAATGCAACAATAATCTATCAGTGGGAGAATATAACCATTATAAAATAATTTTCTTGAATCAATATTTAGAAATTTCTTGATTTTAGAGAGTAAATGCAGTCTAGATGATATTGATGAACATAAGTAATTAACATGGCCTGTCCAGGACAGATTAGAGTCAATTCTAACACCTAAAAGTTTTTCAATTGATGATTTTTGAAGAATATTATTCTCAATAGTTATAACTGGTTCTGCTTGATTTAAACGCAGCCTTTGTCTTGTACCTATAACCATACATTTCGTCTTATCCAAATTTATGAACATGTTATTTTCATGACACCATTTTTCAACACATTGGAGATCATCTTGTACTTTTAATTGCATATCAGCAATACTCTTTCCTGATGTATGCATTGTTGTGTCATCAGCATACAAGTCTGTATGGCAGTTTTTGATGTGTAATGGAAGGTCATTTATGTACAAAACAAACAAAATGGGACCAAGTATTGAGCCCTGTGGAACACCAAAATTTATAAACTTTTTATCAGAAAACTGATTATTTATATGGACTTGCTGTGTTCTTTCACTCAAATATTATTTAAAAAAATCAACAGTATCTTCATGGAAGCCATAAATTTGAAGTTTTTTACATAAAATTTCATGATCAACATCATCAAAAGCTTTCTTAAAATCCAAGAGGACTGCCAAATTGATATTTCCATTATTCATTTCATGTAGCCATTTATCAATGATATTAATGAGGGCAGTTTGACATGAATGGTTAGGTCTAAAACCAGACTGGGAAGGGTGTAAAATTTGAAACTTTGTCAAATAATTATACAGATGTTTAGATACATGTCTCTCTATTAATTTTGATAATGTTGGCAAAACAGATATTGGTCTGTAATTGCTAACTATGTTTTTTTTTCACCAGATTTGAAAATAGGAGCTACCTTGGCATTTTTTAAAACCAATGGATAAATACCAGTATCAATCATTCGATTAAAAATGTATGTTAAGGAAGATGCTATGAAAGGAGCACTCAGTTTTAAAATCTTTGGACCTATATTGTCAGAACCAGAAGATGTCTTAACATCTAGTTTAACTATTTCATCAAATAGTTCTAAAACTTTTACTGGAGGAATGATGAATTTATTGTGCCTTTTTTTCAAGAATTTCATTTGTCGAAGTTTGTCAGAGTATTAAAATTTGAGTTGCTTGGTGCCCTGCTATGCCTTAATTTTTCAACACATGAGGTGAAATAATTATTGAATGCATTAGCAATTTCTTTCTGATCTGTAGTTTTTATGGTCTCCAGTTGTAATAAGTTCATGTGGTTTTGATGGATTAGATGGATTTAGACTGTGAATACATTTCCATAGTGTTTTAGAATCTTTTGAGTCTTTTATCATATCATTATAATATTTCTGTTTAGATGTATCGATGATATGTTTTGTTCTGTTTCTCCAGAATCTATATTCAGCCCACATTCCCAGTGAATTATATTTATCTCTCATTTTTCTTGCATATGAGATTTCTTTATTGTACATTCTGGCTGTCGGTCTTTTTTTACCCTCTATTTCACAATAGGGGCATGTTTATTTAAATTGTTATTAAAAATGTTGTACCACATTTCAATACAAACAGATGGGTCATTTTCAAATTCAATACGTTGAAAAGGTGCACTTTTAAAATCTTTTAAATAATTTTGCTCATTAAAATGTCTTCTGACACCCACTAGTGTATTAACAGCTAGTTTCTCATTTTCTTCAACGTGTACATTGTGCTTAAATAACAATATGTAACTAGAATTGTTATTGCAAGCAAAAGCAGATGCCACCCTTCCCAATTACCACTAAACAGCAGCCATTTTGAAAATTCCTAAGTAGTATTAAAGCCACATCTACGCATGCAAGTTAAAATCTCTGTAAAGTTTCATTTATTTTGAAGCATTTTCAATTTTTTCACATTTTCACAGTTTCCATGGCATTGGCAGCCATTTTGGAAATTCCAAAGTAAAATGCCATATCTACACATGCCAATTAACATTTGTGTGAAGTTGGATTAAGTTTGGAGCTTTTTGAAATTTTTGGACATTTTTGCTGTTTTCATGGAAAGGGTGACCATTTCAAGAATTCCAAAGACAGATGCCACATTCGCACATGAGAGAGAACATAATATCAAAGTTTCACTGGGTTTGACCTAACATTTTAAGAGGGGAAATGCTAATTTATGGTTTTTGGACCATTTTAAAAATTTTTGAATTGTTTCCATGGTAACGACAGCCATTTTGGAAATTCAAAAGTCAAAGGCCACATCTACATATGCCAGTTAATATTTCTGTAAAGTTTCACTAAGTTTAGAAAATTTTGAAATATTGATATTTATCCCCTGTTACCATGGCAGCATAGATGTTCTGATGATTATCAAAATCATCCAAAATTTGTATATAGTGAACAACTACTTTGTATTAATATTTGATGATTTTAAGTTCAGGCATACTCAAATTATTCACCAAAAACAAAAAGCACGACGACGACGACCGAAGACATTTCGTTTCCAGACAATAACTCTAGTTTAAGTGTAAGGATCTCTTTTCCAAAAAAAAAATTGGGGGTCACAATTTATTTTGCTAATTCTTTGTATATAGTCTGAAAACAGATTTACTAAGTATTGCGCAACAGCACAGTGTATTGCACAACAGCAAGAAATCTTCAATTGAATATAAATTCAAATCATATAACCAATTTCAAGTTCTTTGACTACATTTATTCTGTGTCAGAAACCTATAATGTGTCAAATATTTAAGTACAATCCAAACTCAGACCTGTATCAAGCTTGAATATTGTGTCCATTTTTACCCCAACTGTTCAGGGTTGGACCTCAGCGGTCATATCCAGCTGTGCTCGGCGAAGCACATTTATTTGCATTTGTTCTGATTCCATGGTAACTTCACATCTACATAGGGTGCGCCTCATTATGCTGATGTTTCATCAACATTGGTCCAGTTGTCCTCCAGGATTGCCTGGGACAAAAATAGGTGGAAGAATAATAATAGGGAAAAAGAAACGAAGGAAAAGCAATAGACTATAGTTCGGGGTGACATAATAATAAAATGAAAAAAGTATATTAACAACTATTACCTGTATTTCTGACTATAACTTCTTATTTACAGCACATGTTTCCATTAGTGACTTGTCTCTTATGTGTCAGCCAGAAACAATTTTTCTTACAAAATTGGCCATACTTTCTTACCATGTGTTTGTCACAACTCAGATCTAAAGATACCAAGATGTCAAGGATAGCTCTGGATTCTCTACATCGACTTTTGTGGTAAGTGATTCAATCTGGTTAAATTGAAAATTCTTTGTTTTTGGTGAAACATTACACTTATGAGAGATAACTCTCTATAAGTCAACAGAATGTTTATATAGCACTATGAAATTTAAATATCTTATGAATGCAGACTTATGGATATACTCAGGTCAGGTTTATGAATTTTTGTCAGATGTTCGGACTTCTTGGGTTTTTTCCTACGATACAGGGTAAAATATTTTGCCCCATATCACCCACTTTACTTTTCATAGAAGACTTCAATAGCTCATAAAAAAGTCATTACCAAAATTTAAGCAGATTCTAGATTTTTTTTCGTACGATTTGATACCCAAATAATGCCATAAGGTAAAACTTAACCAATGCTATAAGGTAAAAGTCTGAGTCAGCCTTTTCCCGCCATTTAAAAAAAAAAAATATCACAAAGTACATCCTTAAGTTCAATGTAGATGACTTCTATTCTCTGGCTTTAACAATTTTTACTAGAATCTACTGGCTAATGTAAAACAAAATTAGAGTTTAAAATTGTTTTGCTGAATTGTAATGATTCTGAAAAAATGAAAATCTGAAAAAATTAAAAATATGAATATAATTTAAGCAAACTGTTGAAAGTACCTTGATATTTATGTCACAATTATCAATTACTGCTGATTTATTTAAACATGTTTTATAGAATATTTCCTTTTGGAATATCTATTTCCTGCTGCTACACACAATGCAAATCATTACATTTACTGCCATAATATTTGAAAAATAAAACACAGCAACTACTTCAAGTTCAATCCAGAAAAATCTTCCTTGAACCTAATACTTGATGAGCATAGCAGTAAAACAGAAAAAAAAATTTAATTTAAGAAACTGATATCCAATGAAGTTAAAAAGATTAAACAACAAAACACACATTCATGTGAAGAAATAAGAAACCATGAAGTTTAAAGATATCAAGATTCTCTTTGGAAATGCTCCAAACAATCCTCATGAAAACAATTTGCAATTAACAGTTATTGATTTGAATTTGTACAAGCACCTTCAAAAGAATTGGTGGGTTATACCAGGTTTTAACCTGGGAAGTTTTGCTGTATGTACAACCTGGTTGTATCACATTCACTTGAGTTTCAGTATACTAGGAATCTTAGAGTCATTGTCCCAATCCTAAAGCATATCAGCTTGAAAGCATCCACAAGTGATGTCAATGTTAAATGAAAGTACTTTATGGAGAAAATCAAGAGATTTCAAGCACTAGTACTAAAGATTGAAGCTCCAGTGGTCAGATTGTTAACAGTATTAGGTATATGGATTGGTTGTTAGGAGTATATGTCTGTCTGACATATTCACTTTAACCTCAGTTGCATGCTTCAGTGGTTTTAAAGTTTTCAGCATGATTTCTGTTCCTCAGTATATATACAATTAAGGTTTAAAATATTTGATATGTGCTTTGGTTTTAGGGGTAAATGTCCTACTTGTGGTAATGTTCTCATCTCGGGTGCAGGAGGTAGTGGTATATTTGGTACTGAATATGGGTTCCTTGCAAGGTTTACATGTCTGTCAGACAGATGGACCTGACCTCAACCTCATTTCATGGATCAGTGATCAAGGTTTTTGTGGTCAAGTCCGTATCTCAGATACTATAAGCAATAGGTCAACTATATTTGGTGTTTGGAATGATAGTAAGGTGTACATGTCCGACTGGAAGGTTTCATCTGAACTTGACCTTAATTTCATGGTTCATTGGAGAATGTTAAGATTTTATGGTTTAATTTGTTTCTCAGGTACTATAAGTTATAGGGCCACTATATTTGGTGTATGGAATGATTGTTTGGTGTACATGTCTGTCTGGTATGGTTCATCTGACTCTGTGACCTCTTTTTCATGGATCATTGATAATGTTAAGTTTATGTGATACTTGTAGTAAAACCTTCATATTACAGACTTTCAACATAAATTAATCATAAGTAAAGCAGTTGAGACATTTCAGTGTGTGCACTCTTGTAAAGAAGAAATAAGTTTGCAGGTAGATTATTTTAATATTGATTTCATCAAAATGCCTTTATTTGAATTTGTATGTACTGTATATTGTATTTGTATTTGTAGGATTTACATGGTCCGTATTAAGTGTGAAAGTAACACTGCTACACATAGTAGACTGCAGAGTATTGTTAGCAGTTTGTTCCCAAGAGGTTCCAAAATGGTCACACCCAGAGATGTACCTCTTAACTTTTTTGTTAAAATAATACAGTTCATTGCTAAGGTAATTAGGCCAAAAGAAAATGACCAATTTATCAGCTAACCTTACCCAATGGAATAATCATAATGTGTACATGTCTGACCGGAAAGTTTCATCTGACCTTGACCTTATTTCATGGTTCATTGGTCAATGTTCCATTTTCGTAGTTAGGTCTGTTTCTCTGATGCATAAGCAATAGGTTAACTATAATTTATGTATGGTATGATTATAAGGTGTTCATGTTTTTCTGGCAGGGTTCATCTTACCTTGACCTCATTTACATTGATCATTGGTAATGTTAGTTTTATTTGAAACTTATAGTAAAACCTTCATATTGCACACTATCAGCATGAATTAAATCATGATTAGTAAAGCAGGGGAGACATTTCAGCATGTGAACTATTGTTGGTATTTATCAGATAATTTTGGATTTAACATTAAAATTACATATTAATATGGATAAGGTAAATTATCAGTTTTGAAAAGAAATAAGGGTGCCCTCAACAATTTCAATAACAAACATGGCGAAACGTAAACAAACTGCAAAATCAAGTTTTTCTGTTATTCTTGCTTATAGTGTAACAGTAAATTCTGCCTGGTAAGATATCTTATAAAGAAAATTTAATGAGATATCTTATAAATAATATGATATATCTTATAAATTATATGATATATCTTATAAACTATATAAGATATCTTATAAACTATATGAGATATCTTATAAAGTTGATTAGATATCTTGAAGTTAGAATAAATAGTAAAACGGCTTGCCATATTTTGGAGTAAAATACCGCGGACAATACAAGATTGAATTTGGTAGTTTTTGTCGAGCCTGCAACTTTTGACGCAGAAAGCTCGATATAGGGAAAGTGATCGGCGGCGTGGACCACGACGGCGTTAACTAACTACCTGAAAGCTTAATATTTCAGAAGGTAGAAGACCTGGATGCTTCATACTTTGTATATAGATAACTTATGTTATGAAGTTTCCGTCTGTCATATGTCTTTTGTCCTTGACCTCATTTTCATGGTTCAGTGACTACTTGAAAAAAAAGTTAAGATTTTTTGTAATGTTAATTTCTCTCTTATTATGAGTAATAGGATAACTATAATTGGTATGTGCATACCTTTCACAGTACCCATGCCTGTCAGACAGTTTTCACTTGACCTCGACCTAATTTCACGGATCAGTGAACAAGGTTAAGTTTTCGTGGTCAAGTCCATATCTCAGGTACTATAAGCAATAGATATACTATATTTGGTGTATGGAATGATTGTAAGGTGTACATGTCCAACTGGCAGGTGTTATCTCACCTTGACCTCATTTTCATGGTTCAGTGGTTAAAGTTAAGTTTTTGTGTTTTGGTCTGTTTTTCTATAAGCAATAGGTCAACTATGTTTGGTGTATGGAATGATTGTAAAGTGTACATGTCTGTCTGGCAGGGTTCGTCTGACCTTGACCTCATATTCATGGTTCATTGGTCAACATAATGTTTTCATGGTTTGATCTGTTTCTTGTATACTATAAGCAGTAGGTCAACTATATTCAATGTATGGAATGATTGTAAGGTGTACATGTATTTCAGGCTTGGTTTATCTGACCTTGACCTCATTTTCTTTGATCATGATAAGTTAATGTGATACTTGTAGTAAAACTTTATATTTAGGGCTATCAACATAAAATCAATGGTAGTAAAGTAGGCGAGACATTTCAGCTGTGCACTCTTGTTTTCTTATCACATGTTTTTTTCAGTAATAATGAATAATAGGCCAACTATATATTGGGTATATAGAATCATTGGACAGTATATATATATATATTTATTCAAGATAAAAGGCATGGATTTTGACAGACAATTAATTAAAATGACATATAGATATAGCACTAGACATTTTAAATAGTTACAACACTAAAATGATTTACATGTTTACTAAAAATTATAACTTAAAAAATAAAAGTATGGAAATTGTCATGATATTTTGATATTAGACTAGATTTTAATAAGTAAATTATATAGACTAGATTATCACTGCAGCCTTATACCCTAGGATGACCCACAAAAGTTATTGAAACTTATTTCCAGTGTGGTCCTTTTAAGAAGAGACTTCCAGTTCTCACCAAAGGTTGACACATATAAATAACAAAAATCATTAAAAATTATCACAGATAAATGGTCAAAGCCTCAGTAAAATTAATAAAAAAACAAATTCACTATTGAAGATGGATTTAAATTTATCCATCAAAATTTTTTTCACTTGTACTTTAAAATTATATTTCTTTGAGCAACTTTTAACTATTTCTGGTAGGGAATTCCAGTCTTTTATTCCATTATAAATTAGAATAAAAAAAAGTGGTAGATTCACACCCTTTTATTCCTGGTATATAAAAATTCTTATTACTAGATCTTGTATTGAAAGATCTTTCATTTCTAACAAAATTAGTATGCAAATAATTTGGGCATATATTGTTAAAAATGTTGAAAACATATGATTGAGTCTTAGTTGTTTGACTCTATTACTAATATTTAAATAACCTAATTTCTCAAATTCAATATATGTCACACTCTTTCTAGGATGTAATTGCAGAATAAATCTCACAATCTTATTTTGTGCCACTTGAAGTTTATTCTTCATTTGTTTTGGTATACCCCCATCCCTAGATTTTCCATCATCTATCATGGAAAACATCATGGAATTCCATGGAATTCCATGGAGTATTGGAACCTGTTTTTCATGGAAATCCATGGAAAATAAAAAGAGAAAAAAAGTTAAATAATATTTCCATCTGAAACATTTTCCATGGAATTCCATGGAAATATATTCCATGATGTTTCTTTTTCCATGGAATTCCATGGAAATATTTCCATCATTTCCATTTAAAATGGATTGCTCAAATTAACCTTTTGGCAATATACCCTGTTTAACCTTATCTGTAATAATGAACATAAAAAAACTAGGTGCAATGTCTTTTTTCGGTTTGGTAAGGTCTTCTGAGTCTTGCACTCATCAGTAATAAGCAATAAAACTCAACCATCATTTTAACCTTTAATTCAGATTCATTTGATGTATTATGATAAATACAATAAACAAGCAAAAACTTTCAAATTTGGTATATGTTTGCACTGCCTTTAATTTATAACAAGAAATTAAGGTTATAAATGTCACTTTTGTCAACACCAATCTTTAGTAGATCCATCCTGTAGAACAGCATTAACCATTTGTTTTGGAGTTTCATTTCTTCCTCATGACACCTAAAAATATAATTTTACTGTAATAAATAATAAAATATTCTTTAAATAATGTCCTGAACACAATAATGGTTAACAACTTTAGTGGGTGATATGTTCATTTGATACTTATTTTATGGGGAAAACTCATGCAATCAAAAGAAATCAGTTTAATTACAAGTGAAAATATTTATTTGGAATGTGTGATGTCTAACAAAATATTCTTCCCCTTTAAAATCCTGGATTCACAACTGCTGTTTAACTGTCGAATACATTAAATAGAAACCTCATTTCTGTGTTATATGTACCAGTGACAGTCCCAACAATCTGGTGCATGAAGTTGAGAGGTTGTTCTGGCCTTTGTCTTAAATATTTGTTTTTAATAATCATTGTATATAAATGTCATCATTGGTATTGTCCATATCTTTAGAACTTAGTTTTGATCTGTAAATTGCTATAAAGATACACTTTTTTACTTTTATGGATCTATGTCTCATTGGCAACCAATTTCCACAGATCTTAAATTTTATAACCAAATTACTTCATTAATGGATTATAAGTTATTATAATACACTATATACAGTTTGTCTTGTCTTAAAATATCATCATAATTGAAAAGTGAAAAATCTACTATCTAGTAGGTGTTTTAATGTTATTATGTTGAACTGAAGGAGCTTGCACGCATTCAAAATTGTGGAATCTAATTCAGTGTACTTACCAAAAGATATGCTCCTAAGTCCAATTCAGTCAATGCAAGACATCAGAGAATAAATCTGCACTATTTGTAGAAGAACTATTTGGAACTTTTTCATCTGCAAACAATGTAAATTTTACATTTTGGTCAGGAGAGAAGACATCTTTGTTTGTTACCTGCATATCCATTGCAAGTTCAAATTTTAAATGTGTTGGGGGTTGTATTAGGAGTTATCTGATTTCTTTTAAAAGATCCCCAATTGAATACTGTTAATTAACTATATCTTGAATATTTTATATATATTATAATAAAAAAATACCCATTTATTGTTTATTTACCGTCTTATGTTTTAAGTAATAATAATTGCACAAAAATGTATAAATCCATGTGCTACCCTACATTTGGCCTCACACTGTATGGTCATATCACTTCCTGTCTTCTACACTAAGATTAATGAAAAACAGATAGCACATTACATTTCTTTCACTGGCTCACATGTCTAATTGATGATAAAGAATTAATGCATGGAAATGATTTGTGTGTACATTTTTTCCATGCTTAAGTCATCATTCAACCCTCTATCCATCTCAAAAATATTCTAAGTTAAGATTCTATCCTTTTTTCCATGTTAAAAATATTCTAAGTCAAGATTCCATCCTCTTTTCCATCTCGAAAATATTCTAAGTCCACTTTCCATCTTCTTTTCCTTCTACAAAGTTTTATTAGTGTACTTTCCATCCCATTTTCCATCCAACAAGTATTTTTTCCATGGAATTCCATGGAAAATGATAGAATAAGTAACACATATAAATTTCCATCTGTGATGGAATATTTTTCCATGGAATTCCATGGAAAAAAACGAAATTTCCATCATTTTCCATCATTTTTTCATGGAAAAAGTTGAACTGCATGGAAAATCTAGTGATGGGCCTTCATACCAGCATGCACATGCATAATCAAAATGACATTGAATCAGAGAAAAGCACAATGTTTTCCTAGATTAAATATTTAGACACTCTTTGTTTCTATATAAAAACTTAAAACAGATAACAAAAAACAAATCATGAAACTTTGAAATGGAAAAATACTTAATCCTAAACTCGT